AAAATAACATCCGACATCCTTTATTTTTTGGTTATCACGGAAAATCTCTCTTGTCGGATGAACACTGGTTGGTTATATTAATGCCTGAAACAGAAACACGGTTTACTCGACTCACATAAGAATGACACCAAATAGTCATGGTAGGCTTGAAATCACTTCATAGAGGTGCAGATAATTTTTTGCGTCTATCGTTGCGTGTTACAAGCGATGGGAATGACAGTAATCATGTTCTTGATTAAGTTTCTTTTGAACCATTGTTTGGCAGGTTTATCAAAGATGAGCTAGAGACGATGCAGGCATTCCTGGTGGCAGCTGAAGGAATGAAGGAGAAAGACATGCTACTTAAGGTGTGGCGAAGCAAGTAAGGGACATGTCGTACAATATTGAAGATTGCCTTGGTGAATTCATGGTGCATGTGGCAAGTCAAAGCTTGTCGCGAAAGCTAATGAAGCTCAAGGACCGCCACCGAATCGCGATGCAAATCCGTGATCTCAAATCAAGAGTTGAGGAAGTGAGTAGCAGGAACACCCGGTACAACCTTATTGATAAGAACCATATCACTAGAAACATTGATGAGAGGGATTCTTGCATGGAAGATATTCGCAACCAGTCAGCTAGCAACATCGATGAAGCCGAACTTGTGGGGTTTTCCAATCACAAACAAGAGTTAATAAGGCTTATTGATGACAACGTCAACAATGGCCCTGTTCGGGTAGTATGTGTCATTGGCATGGGTGGTTTGGGTAAGACCACTATTACAAGGAAGGTTTATGAAAGTACAAGAAACTTTTCATGTTGTGCTTGGATCACTGTCTCGCAGTCATTTTTCAGGATGGAGCCTCTCAAAGTTATGATCAAAGAACTCTTCGGTGACGACGAACTCAAGGAGCAACTTGACGGGAAGGTGGTGCGAGAAGAGAATCTTGCTAGCTACCTCAGAGAAAAGCTACTTCAGAAGAGGTACTTTGTTGTTCTTGACGACTTATGGAATATAGATGATTGGAAGTGGATCAAAACTATTGCTTTTCCAAGTAGTAACAACAAAGGTAGTCGGATAATGGTAACAACCAGAGATGTTGGCTTAGCTGAGGAGTGTATCTTGGAATCTTCTGGATCGTTTATCTACCACCATCAACCCTTAGAAACAAATGATGCCATAAAATTGCTATTAAGGAAGATGAGGAAAAGTGAAGAAGACATGGAAAAACATGAGAACATGAGGAACATAGTTACTAAGATAGTAAAAAAGTCTGGACGGTTACCTCTAGCTATACTCACAATAGGAGGCATGCTTGCCACCAGAGAGGTTATTGAGTGGCAAAGTATTTATAACCAAATCCCCTTAGAGCTAGAGAGCAACCGAAGCCTTGAAGCAGTGAGGAGGATGGTTACCATGAGTTACAACCACTTGCCCTCCCATCTCAAGTCATGTTTTCTGTATTTAAGCATATTTCCATAGGATTTTGAAATCAAAAGGAGGCGTCTGGTAGAAAGATGGATAGCCGAGGGCTTTGTCATTACTAGAGTTGGGATGAGTGTTGAGGATGTTGGGAATAGTTACTTTAATGACCTAATCAACCGGAGCTTGATCCAGCCATCAAGAGTGAACATAGAAGGAGTTGTGAAGAGTTGTCGAGTTCATGATATTGTTTGTGATGTCATGGTCTCAATTTGTAGAGATGAAAATTTTGCATGGTCTACATGTGACAATGTAACCGGAATAACAGTGGATAACTTTCGCCATGTAGCATACCAAGGCCGTTGGAGCCCAACTAAAGGCTTGGATTGGAACCATGTCCGATCATTCACTGTGTTTGGTGAGAGACCCAGGAAGCCGGCACCTTCACTATGTTCGCCTGACTTTAGGATGCTTAGAGTCTTAGATCTACATGATGCCAGTTTTGACATCAAACAAAAAGATATCAGCACCATAGGGGCGTTGCATCATTTGAAATATGTCAATGTTGGGTCTTCAAATGGAAGTGAAAACTATATTTACAAGATCCCTAGAACCATAGGGGAACTACAAGGCTTGCAGAGTTTGGACATGAGACATGGTAATATAACATCACTACCAACTGAGATCACTAAACTACAAAGCCTTCGTAGCCTCCATTGCAGCGGAAATGGAGTATGTGCGAATTTATACTTAGTTTACCCAATGATCTGGTTCACGTCAATATTCTGTATGCCTATTCTGTTCAATCCTTTAGCTCGTCCGATTGATCGTCCATTCCTTATGAGGGGCATTCACAAGGCCTGGACTGGTCGCTTGTCCAATTCTGATGGTGTGAGGGTGCCTAGACGGATCAGTAACCTAAAGGAGTTAGAGATACTAGAGATTGTGGATGTTGAACGGACAAGTAGAAAAGCAGTTAAAGAGCTCGGGGAGCTAATAAAGCTCAGAAAGTTGAGTGTGAGAGTTGGGGCAAGCAAGCAAAAGAGCAAGATACTATGTACATCCCTTGAGAAGCTCACTTCCCTCCGCTCTCTTTGTCTCAGTGTGGATGTTAGTACATCTGGGAGAAGCGGTGCATCACTTAAGTGGTTGCAGTCTATTTCCTCACCTCCCCCTCTCCTGAAGAAGCTGAATTTGCGTGGTGATCTTGGGGAGATGCCTGACAGGTTTGGGGATCTGGAACATTTGGTGAAGATTGATTTAATGTTGAACAATTTGAAAGATGGAGATAAAAGCATGAAACTACTAGGCGCACTGCCCAAGCTCATGCTCCTTCGTCTTTCTTGGGATTCTTATGTCGAGGAGAAACTAGTTTTCAGAGCAGAAACATTCACAAATCTGAAGAGACTTAATATTTCATACATGGAGAAATTTACAGAGTTGGTATTTGAGGAGGGCACCTCGCTCCTGTTGGAAAAGATAGAAATCAGAGGGTGCAGTTTGCCATCGGGGATTAGTGGTATCAAACATCTTCCAAGACTCAAGGAGATTGGTCTGGAATATACTAGAGTT